TTCCCTACGTGGCCACACCACGTTCCCAGTCAACTCACCCCAGCACCCCTTCCCCAATGTCTCCGACTTCGCGGTCGCCGTTCCCCCGCAGCAGTCCTCCTGTCACCCCTCCCTGTACCTTTTCTATCCTTGCTCCCCCCTCTTCCCGGCTCGCCCCATTCCCGTCTTTCCCATCCGTCCCCACTGCCCTTACCTCCCCCCACTCCCCCTGCCAACGTTCTCCCCGTTCGCCTCTTCCCCCTCCCCCTGCCTGTCCCCTCACATCCCCGTCCATTCTCCCACTCTATGCTTCACGATAATGCCGTTGCCAGGGGACGGCCGAGGCGAGCCGAGGCGGCCAAGGTGTGACGAAGGCAGCCGAGGGCTAGCCGAGCCGAGCCGTGCCGAGTTTTAGTGGCTACCCTCTTCCTCTTGCATTTCAACTCACCCGCTGATTCGGCCGAGCCGACTCGAGTTTTCGTTGTTGCTCGGACAGCAGCCTTCCGATTCGGCCCGGTCGTGTCGGAAAGTGAATTGCAGTAATTGCAGGGAGGGAACGTGGGGAGAGGGGGAGGGGTGGAGGGTAGGAGGTTAGAGGGGAGGAAGTTGGGAGGGCGGTGGTGGTTTCTCATGTTTCAGAATTGCACACTCCATCTGCATGGACACTCTTTATTAGCACTGTTTGTTGTTTTAAGTGTTGGTTTTTTTGGCCGATTTCGAAATCGGAGTTTGGGATCCGGATCTCGCGAGGGATCTAGAAAATGTATGCTTAAATAATGTGAAACGCAAGAAATTCAAAGGATTTGAAGACCTTGATGTGAGCTTTACAGATATGTTGAACTGTTAGATGATAACGCTTCCATCAGAAAAGCTAATATATTTGCAAATAGTGTGGATGATCAGACCTGCCTTCTCTGTTTCTCCTTCATCTCCATCTCTTCACCCCATCTCCTCCTTCCCCCCGCCCCCTCCTTCCCTTCTCCCGACTCTCCCGCATCCATTCCCCGTCCTCCCGCCTCTACATCGCTTTTGCGTTCTTCCATATCTTGCACCTTGATTCTGTAGTATCATCTAGGCTTTTGAGAAAGAATGAAATAGAATGTGTCTTCATTTCGCTCTCTGCTTGATAAAGGAGAAACTCGAAAACCATAAACTACAGAGAATCTGCGGCAATTTTTTCAAAAAAATTGAAAAAGTTGAAGGTATAAAATTACTTACTTTAGCCAAACCACAGCCAACGATATACCGGACACCTGGAAACGTGATCGACATCTCCGCAACGTTCGTTTTGAAAATTACCTGGAAATGTTGATTCTGTTGGCGAGGACACAAATTATAGTAGTAGTAAGGACATGAAGAAGCAAAGAACTATCTAGAGTAAATGGTCAGCGCAGTCCACTTCGAATGTCCCATATATTACTAACAGTTCAGCTAGGCTATTTCGGGCTAAATTACCGCAGGTTTTGCGCCTTTCCAAAGTTTTGTTTTGCGTGTCGTCAAGTGTCGTCACCCTGCTCCAAATTGCCTGCGCGTTTTTAGCTATAGAAATTTTATACCATATTCTGGCCAATTTTTTGGACAGGAGCAGAAAACTCGCTTTAAAACACCCAGCACTGAGGCGACACTGATGAACACTAAACATCAGTGAAGCAATGCATAATCAGAATGATTACACTGAACTGGCAATGTCGAAAGCTAAAAGCAAAGATAGCAACCGTCAAACAGAGAAAACAAAAGTCTGAATGATTTAAAGCAGCGCACTGCAGTCATTTTTTACCGAGATCGCTGTGGACAGTCTTTTTATACTTTTTTGCATATATGCAAAA